GTGCCCAAACATGGTGTGACCTAAAGGAGGGCACATCTGGAGAAGTGGGCGCTGCTTTCTTATCCCCATTTTACAGCTGGGGAAATGGAAGCTCGGTGAAGTTCAGTAAGGGTGTAACTGGAACTTGACTTTCAGATCTGACTCCAAAGTCCAGTGTCTTTCCACTCTAGCATTACTTCAGGCAACCCATTTAACGCCTTTGATGCTTAGTTTTCCCATTTATAAAGAAGAGATACATACACATCCTGCTTGCCTGAAAGGGCTGTTGTGACAATCATTTGATACAACGGCTAGAAAAAGCACTTTTAAAATTGTTATAAATGCAAGTTAAATAATCCGCACACAGCTCCATATAAATATGACATCTACACATATCTATCGTGTTGGAGTTGGAGGCAACTTAGCATCTAATCCAATCATCTGATCTGAATGGACACGAAAGTGGTCAGAAAGCTGGGTGGTCACAGAGCCCAGACTAGAGTTCATGTCTTTGGGTTTCTATTCCAGGGCTCTTTCCCAAGGGGCCTTCGGGAGCCAGCAGGGCTGGGCAGAAGCGGTGCACTGTGCCCCCACGTGATTTTCTTCCTCCACCCATCCTGCCGAGTTCTCTAGGCAAAAGGAACCATTGAAGGTTTGGGGGCAGTGCGAGCAGGGCTTAGTGAGATGACCTGGCAGCAGTGTGTGCCATGGTCTGCTGCTAGGGACCCTCGGCCTGGGCAGTGGCACAAGTAGCAGAATAAAAGGGGTGGAAGAAAATGCTGGCGGAGGCAGAACCTGCTGAACACGACAGCTTTTTTTTTTTTTTTGAAAGGGTGGGAGGCAGGACATAAGAAGCAGCAAAAGACATTCTGGAATTCTGAGCCCGAGTCACAGGAGAACCATTGGTACCATTAAAAGAAATGAAGGTGTTAAAAGGAAAGACTGGTTTTCGGAAGGGAAATGACAATTCAGTTTTGTGCCAGAAACTGAGGGTTAGACCTGGATAGGCCCAAAGAACACGCAGCTGGTGAGGCCTCTCCCTCGCCGCAGGGAGCCTAATGTAGCTGCACAGGAACCTAGTGGGAACGTGCTCCCGCCCTGGGAAAGGGATGGCGCCATAGATGTGGTTTCGGGCTGCAGAGTCATCCCAGATGTGGTCCCTGGAGGAGAAAATACGAAGTGAGCCAAGGGCCAAGAGCATTTGGAGGGAAGGAGGAGGAAAAGAAACAAACAGAGGTGGCAGAAAAGGGGTGGTCCCAAGCAGGTTGGGGCTGGTGCCTTGTCAGAGAATCGGCGAGCATAGCGTGTCAAGGTGTCGGTCTGCCCAATGCCACTCAGAGGTCTGAGGAGGCGTGACTGGACTTGCTGGTGACCTTTCAGAGAGGGTTCCTGGAGGCTTCACGGGAAGAGGCTAAGAGGGCTGCCTTTGGGGTCTGGAGTCCGTGTTCCAGGACTCCCTCTACGATGCGCAGGTTGAGGGATCACCCTTGTTATGTCCTGCGCCCCCATGTCTCCATCTGCAGAGACGGAGTAATAACCCTTGTTGGGAGATGAGGCCAGGAGGGAGGATGAGAACCACCATCTACTGAATGCTTACTCTGCCCACTGTGCCAGTTCTTTTGTCCGTTATTTGACAGTCCTTTGCACACCAAATTGATAAACCAATGGCAGGGATCGCTATCTTTGCTATTAGAATAGGAGAAGATTGTAATGACCTGAGAAATGAGTGGAAGATGGAAAGCAGACCCAGAGAGGGCTGACTATTCATTCACAAAATTCAACAGTGAATGGATTGTGAAAGGTAGGGTGATGGTGTAAGGAAGAAGCAACTCAGAAGATTTTTTAAAGATTAGGGACGACTTAGCCGTACTTATCAACCAATGAAAGGGAAAGACAGAAGCAGCCCGGAGGGGAGTTCTGCTGGTCCTTTGTGTCAGTGTCACATTCATTCTAGTGGCCCCACAGGATGCTGGGTGGCTGAAGGATGCCTTTCACTTTCTCTTTCCTTTTGATTTTTTTTTCTCCCTCTGGTCTTGCTCTGTTGCCCAGGCTTGAGTACAATGGTGTGATCATAGCTTATTGCAGCCTCAAATGCCTGGGCTCAAGTGAAGTCCTCCCACCTCAGCCTCCTTAGTAGCCGGGACTACAGGCACATGCCACCACACCAAGCTAATTTTTAAATTTTTTTGTAGAAGTGGGGGTCTCGTTGTGTTGCCCAGGCTGGTCTCAAACTCCTGGCCTCAAGCGATCCTCCTGCCTCAGCCTCCTAGAGTGCTGGGATTGCAGGCATGAGCCACTGCGCCTAGCCTCTCTCTCTGATTAACCAGCCTCTTTGCTTCCACGACTCCACCAGTCTCCCAGCAAATATCTGAGACTCCTTATGAGGAGAAGATGGAACCCATTCCGTGGGGACTGGTGGCATGTGCTCCATCCCCACAGGCTCCGTCTCCCAAAACACCTCCCCACCTGACCCGGCCTTTCACCCACTTGGCTGGCTGAGAGGGTCTGGGCTCCCAGCCACTCAGGCTGGTCTCTTTTGTCCCTGATAAAGTAGTGTACAATGATCACAACAAGGTCCTGGCAGGATCCCCAGGGAGCTGCAGTCCTCTGGTGCTGCATGAGAGTCGGGGCTGGGGGCATTCTGTGGGACAGGAGGAAGCCATGGGAACCTCGTCCCCCCAGGAGATCACCCCTTTTCCTAAGTGACTCTGGGGTTGGCTGAATACTATGGGGTTTTCTCTGAGCGAACAGTCGCATCAGTCCCTCCGAGTAGAGAGGGCAACACATAAGAGAGGAGCGGCAAGAGGGCAGTGGGGCAAGGCAGTGGCCGGTGTGGGGTCAGCCTCCTACAGGTCTCTTAGTTTAGGCCTCCTCCCCTCTCTGCTCAAGCACCGCCCTCACCTCTGACCTGATCTTGCTGCTCCCTGGTCTCTCCCCTCCCTCCCGTCCCAGCCCCACCTGCCGCCCAGTTCTCCTTCCCACCACAGAGCTGCTCACATGCTGCTTTAAGAAGTCCTCCATCCTCATCCTCGCAGGGCTGGGGAGGCTTCTCCCAGTGTGAACCCTGCCCACTGATGGGCCCCTTGGAGCCATTCCTCACTCTTCATTCATTCATGTCTTCAGCACATTTTTTCAGGGCCTCTGGCCAGTGCTGTGCTGGGGGCTGCTGGGAACCCAGGTTGTGGCCTATCCACTTCTCGCCCACCCGACGCAGGCCACCACATGCATGCTGCCTTTGAGGGCCTCAGAGCCTTCAAAGCTGCTCCCTCAGACATCCGCTTGGTTTCCCTTTCAGATGTCACTCTCTCCTCTGAGTTCCACAGTCCTTTAACATGTTTCATGAAAGTTGTCTATGTGTCGTGTTAATCCATTTTTGAAAAAAATGGCACTCTTCGTTCTATGTCAGTAAACCTTTAACAGGCATAGCGGTCGGTGTCTTCTCCCGGGGCACTTGCCTCATCCTCTCTTATTTCGCTGGGGGCGGGCCTTTCTGTTTGGATGTCTGTTCGCAGTCCTCAGAGCCAGAGAGGCCTGGCTCTTGGCGTCTGGAGTCTGTGACGTGAGTGAAGGATGCTCAGACTGATACCAGCGTGAAACGACAGCGCCATCAAGGAGGTCGCTATCAAAGAGGTCACAAAGTGTGGGAATGGCATGAAAGGGGCTCCCTCTGGCCCCCCAGCACACCCCCACCAGCTGGCCAGAGTGACCTTCCCACTGCCATGCATCAGTGCGGAGTCTAGAAGGGTCCCCCAGAGCCACTTGCTAACTATGCCCTTTGGCCATTTCAGCTCTTACCCTCAGACTCCCCATTTTTAAGTTAGAGTTAACAATATGGGTCTTGTCTGCCTCTTGGGGTTTTTCTCACAGTGGTGAGAATCTATGAGGAGGGTGTGTTGGCACTCAGGGACCTGTAAGGGCACCCCACCCCTCTGTTCATCCTTAACTTCCCACTGTCCCCAGTCAGCCCTGGCGCCAGTCAGGCTCTGGGCACTGGGCAGCCCCATTGGCTCCGGTCTTGGAGGACCCGCTGTGCCCCGACACCTAGAAAGCCGTCCCTCCTCCATCCCTTTGATAGGGCAGTCTTCATTTCCTGGGGTCTATACGCCACCATTATCCCATTAATCGTATGTGGTCCTACACTGGCCCTCCATGTCTTGCTGCTGAGCTGAGCTTCCTGAGTCCAAGGCGGGGACCGCGTCCTGCTCCTCGTCGTCTCCCCCCGCCCTCAACCATGGCGCCTAGCACAAGGAAGGGGAGCAGAGAGTCCGCAATTCTTTTCTAAGATTGTCTGATTAGAGGGTTCAAAGCCCTGGACGAGCCCGAGCCCGGCCCCTTTTCTCCAGGGAGGGAGCAGGAGGGAGGACGCAGGAGGGCGCCAGACAATGTGGATGGCGCGGACAACATGGGAGACCGGAGTTCCCATTCCAGCGGGCGGGGGAAAGGCGTCACCTAGCCAAGCCAGTCCCGGAGTTGAGTTCCTCAGACCCGAGGCTCGCGCCCCGAGGCGGCCGAGTCCTCTTTGTGCCGGCATCAGGTGCAAAGCCTGCGGCGCCGGACGTGCACGCACGCGCCCCGGAGCGCGCGGAGCCCAGTCGCCGCCCCTGCGCGCCCGCCCAGCTGTCCCCTGGGATCTCCTCCGGCGCCCGCGGCCAGAGCTGGGGGAGGGAGGCGGTCGGACACGTAGAGGGCCTCGCGGCTGGGCTCGACCCCGCGCGGACGGGCGGGGGAGCCGGGGACCCGCTGCTCCAGCCCGCTGGCTTTCGAAAGATCCTACTGAGCCAATGGCAGGCGGGGCGACGCGACCCGATTGGTGCAGGCGCTCTGCTGATCACTGTGGAAACCCGGGCGGCCGGGAACGCGGGAGGATGCTGAACTCGCGGCGGGGGGAGCCGGAGGGGCGGGCGGAGGAGGCGTCAAGGCCCTGAGCCACCCCGGAGTTTCTACTGGTGGCAAGAGTCCACGGCGGGCGGGCTGAGGGAGGGGCGGAGGAACCTGGCCGCTTGAGGGCCAGGGAGCCAGGGATACTACGCTGGGAGCCCGGGATACTCCCGAGCGCAGGCGGGGAGGCTGGGGGAGGGGGTGCGGTGGGAGGAGGAGTAGAAGACAAAAGCCGTAAGCGAAGAGGGCCCGGGCGGCACACACTGGCAGGAAGGGCGCCGTCTGCGCAGCGAGCAGCCGGCGCGGGGAGGCCGCGCTGCACGGGGCACCCCGGTCGCAGGCAGCATGGGGAAGGGGGGGAACCAGGGCGAGGGGGCAACGGAGCGCGAGTCCCCGATGCCCACCTTCAGCTGGGAGGAGATTCAGAAGCATAACCTGCGCACGGATAAGTGGCTCGTCATAGACCGCAAGGTTTACAACATCACCAAATGGTCCAGCCGGCATCCGGGGGGCCAACGGGTCATCGGGCACTACGCGGGGGAAGATGCTACGGTAAGGGTCTGGGGGGTCCCCAGCCACCCTAGGCCGAGTCAGGAGTCCTGGGTCTCTGGGCGCCAAACAGACCTCCAGGGCTAAATGGAGCTTGGGACGTCCAGGACGTCAGGAGGGAAGGAAAGTGAATCCCTGGCGCTCGTCCCCACGCCCCGAATCCTCCTCCTCTGGGCCAACCGGGCCGACTTGGGGTGGAGTCAGATTTTGGACCCCAGGAGGCAGCGCCGCGGCGGAGGGCCCGGCGGTGGAGAGCCGAGCAGGGTCTGCAGCGCGCGCTGGGACCCACGCGTCCGCTCCTTCGGCCGGGTTCACCCGGAGCCAGGGACTCCCCAGTGGGGGCGCTCGGACCCGGGGCTTTGGCGCGCTGGCCTGGAAGATGGCCGCGCCTGGGTGCCGCGGAAAGGAGCGGGAGAGCAGGCAGCCAGGTGTGGGACTCGGCGCGCGCCCCGCGCTCTCCAGCCAGACTAGTGGGCAGAGAAGGAAAGCTCATCCTCGGCCAGGGCTCGCTCCTGCTTGGACTCTTGTCCAAGAAGGTCCGCAATGGCTGCCTCTGAGCCTGGTATCTTGGATTCCCACGCTCGCAAGGATTATCCTGACCCACCCCAAGGGTCTGCCCGCTTGGGGACCGGTTTGGGGAGTTGGTGGAAAGAGAAACGGCTGGAGTTTGCAAAGCCCAAGTCGAGAGGAAACCTTAAGCTGGGTGGATTTAGCAGCACTAGGCTGGCTTGGCTACAGGTCTGTCTGCACCGCAGGTCTCTCAGACGTTCAACTCAATGGCCCTCTGTTTTTAAATCCTGTCTGGAAAGCCGTTCCCTCATCTTGCACTCTTAAAGGTAGTGGGCCTCTCCAGACGAGCCAGGGCTGCCCCCCTCATCCGCACCAAATGTGTGGCTCAGCGATTACACAGCACCCCCAGCGCGACCCCTAGTCTGGAATCCTTGCATTTCTTTAAAGGTGCAGCTGGAGCCCCAGGGACTCCAATGGGCAAGAGGAGGAGAACAGGCAGGGAGGGAAAAAAGGCCTGTTCTTGGTGGCAGGGAGCTGGAAGCAGAGAACAAGGTCTGGTGGGATAGAGAACTTGGGGAAGGTGAAGAGAGGAGAGGCTGAAAGGAGATGACTTGGCTAGATCCTTCCACCTAGAGGTCTAGAATGCTGACCTGCCCGTGGGCTTTGCTGTCCAAGCTGTGTAGGCCCAACTCTTGACCTCTCACCATGGGGATGGGCCAAGGCAGGCCAGACCAGGCAGCCACCAACCCAGGCTGTTCAATGGCTGGGTGGCTTTGGTGAGCAGGGCCCAGGCTTATCCAAGATAGAAGAGGCCAGCCATGTGGATATAGCCTACAGCTTTTGACCCCATCCTGTGGTACCTGGTTGTGGATGCTGCTTAAGCCTGGAGAGTTGGTGGTGCTAATTAGAACTTAGGTGAGTGTGAGCTTTTTGCATACCTTCAATGTACCATCTCACTTGGACATTTCCACATCCCTGTGAGGAGGTTGAGTAAAGGTAATTGCCAAGTAAAAGACCTTGTGGATCCTGGGTGGGATCTTTCCACTATATGTTGCTGGACTTGTGCTAGCCTGTTCCTGATTTCATAGGTAAATTGCAGAAGGTTCCTGCCCGTCTGGGCCCACCTTAAAAAGTAAAAAGCGATATATTTGGTCTGATTATTCGATATTGTTAAATAAATATATTTTCTTATGCGGATGCTCGGTCTGGCAACTGCCTTGAACTTTATAGTTTAATTATGATGAGAGATTGATTTCATCCTTGTTCTGGATGTTAAGTTCTGTGCTCACCTGACTTTAACAACGAGTTTCCTCCAAAAATCAGGTCTCAGATCTGTCCTGTCAGAGGAAGAGGATGCCCTACTCTACCCTGCCCCCTTCTCTGTCTCGTAAGTTTGTCTCGTAAAAACGTAACCCTCTCTTCATTTCTGATCCTGCCCCTGCGCTTTTTGTGTAACTTTCATGGTCCGTAAATCTAGCATCTTGGATGTTAGTTGCCTCATTCTAGGAAAGCCCAGGTAGGAACCAGCATGGGCTGCACACAGCCCTGGAATTAAAGAAAGATGTGATCGCTGGGCTCATCCGTTTGCCGTTGTCGCTTGACTGAGCCTCCCTGCTCGTCTATAAGATTCACCTGTACCTATTTCAATGACATTGATTCATGGTGAAGCACTCCTTCCGCTGTAAGCACTAGGTCAATGAAATGGAGTTATTATCAGGCAAACAAGAGTAAGAGTGGGAATCATGAAACAGCTGGAACGTAAAGAATGCAAAGAGGAATTTGGAAGAGAGCATTGGCATCCCTGCTAGCTTTATTTGGTGTAGCAAGACATAAAAACAATCCCTGCTCCCCAAAGCTAAAACTTTTGGGACATGAAATACACTGATTGGGGATATGGTTGAATAATGATGGAGTGAGCAGCTGGGTTTTCTTTGGCATTTTTTCTTTAAACTGTCTGGGACCTGGTTGGAAAAAGGCCTTGAGCAGTGGGAGGGTGTAGGCTGTTGAGCAAGTGGCTTTGCTCCTTGGGGTGTAGACTTGTTCAGAGCCTGCGGAGTGGCAGTTTATAGACGGAAAGTTTGGGGAAGGACCGATCAGCGACAGAGGTTGGGTCCGTTGGAGCACTGTCACGCAGTGTTCTGTGCTAATCACAGTGCAGTTACATCCCAACAGGAGGCTGGCAAAAGAGGCCGGAAGTGAAGGAATCCATTCTTGGGACAGTCGGGGGCTTTAATAGGGCATTTTCCTGTTTCTGAAGAAGAAAAGACCTAAGTAGTCAGGACCCACCTCTTCCCCAAAAGGATGGGGCCATTGTCGATTAGTCCTTCTGCAGAAGTTAAACCTTGGCCTTGCCTATAATAATAAAAGTTGCTTAACTTTGGCAGCTCACATAGCACGTTTGTACATACTATCTCATTTCCCCCTCAGATCAGCCCTGTAGGTATCTCTCATTGCTCAGAGGCATAGAAACCTCGCTCAAGTGGCAGTGCTCAGAACTCAACTCAGGTTGTGCTGCCACCATGTCCTCCCAGCTTGCCTCCTCCCTTCCCTCCCTCCCTCCCTGTTTCTGCCCCTCTGATCTCTTCCTTTTGGTCCTCTGCTGCTTCTCCTGTCCCTGCCTTGCTGTGGGCAAAAGGAGCCCTTGCCTGTGCCCCGAGAGTGTCTGTTCTTTTCATGGCAGTCCCACCCTGTGGAGTTGTCCCCACTCGGAACTGTTCATCTTCATCTTCAGCAATGATTCATCACTCACTCCCTGAGTGTCTCGCTCACTCTGAGCTGGGCCCCAGGCACAAAGATGAATAAATCACAGACAGTGATCTGTGCCTACTGGATTTGATTCCCTTCTCTCTCTCTCTCTCTCTCTCTCTCTCTCTCAAGCTGGGGCTTGAGTCTGGACCCTCTACCTCTAGACACCAGCCACCCTCCCCTTGTCTCAGCAACTTTTCCTGCCCCGTCCACATCAGTCACTTCTTAGAATCAAGGCAGGCGAGAAGAAGCTAGAGATTTGTTCCATCTTTCAACTTGCTTCTATGCTGCCACTGTGAGAGAGCAGCAGGTTGTGAGTGACACTCTGTGCTCCTCTACACAGGGCAAGCGGGCCATGGTGTTTACTAGTAGAGGTCCTGGGTTCGAGTCCCAGCTTCATGAATTCCTAGGCCTGGAGGGCAGCTCCATCCCCCCAGCTGGGGTCTGGGTGGGAGCCCTCCGCTTCCTGCTGGCTGCAGCCTCAGTGGGGGCTCCACGTCCAGCCCCAGCATCCCCGGGAAGCAGTTCTGAGATGAAAGTGGCAACAATTCCTTCATGTCCAGGTTACCTTTGCAGGGGTCTCTCTCCTGTACAGCCTTGACCTTCCACCCCCAGGGAGTATATGTGACCTGTGTTAGTGGCGACGCTCTTGCCACAGGGCTCTGGCCCCTACCAGCTCCTGCCCCACCAGCCTCCATTGCATCGTTCCTTGGAGGGGACATGGCACAGGGGCTCCCTGCGTCTTCTTGCTGCAGGAAGAAAGTCAGCATCCTTGTTTGGCTCTTAACCTCCACCCAAGAACATGAGGTTCCCTCCTCTGCTTCTCCTTCCTCTTGGATCACTTGTTCCACAGTGTCCTGGTCCCCAGGGCTGCTGTCTGCAGCACTGTCTGCCCTGAGTCTGCTCCTTCTGACTTCCCAAGGCCTGGGCCAAGTGCCCTGAAGTGTAACACTTGATTAGATATGAGCCTTGCTCTGCAGAGGAGATGGGCACAGCCAGAAACAAGTTGTGGCAGCGGGCGAGCGCTCAGTGTCGGGGAGGAGCTGTGAGTTCCACCCGGAGTGGGGCACAGCAGGAGCATGTCCCCATGGATAAGTCGGCTGGCATCAGAGCTGGGCGATGGCAGGACAGGAGAGTGCAAGGTACACTTAGGAACCTGGGTGTTCTAACCTTTCCTCCCCCAATACACACACCTGCCCTGCCGGTCCTGCCCACCTGCTTGCTGCTCCTTTCTCTTCCCTGTGTCCCTGGCCCTCTTCCTGGAAAGTCTTTGGCTTCTCTCCCTGTCAGACAAGGATCGAGCCTGGTTCCAATTCTTGTTCCAAAATCAACATTTGGGTTGGCCCCATCTAGATTCACACCACGGCCTACCTTGCACCAGCCAGATGTTCCTGTAACTAAACAGCTGCAAGTGTGTGAGACACGTTGATGGCAATTTGAAGGGAGAGACACACAAAAAACGACTAACTCTCAGGGAAAAGGAAGCTCATTTTGATTGGAGCCTTTGTGTTAACAGCGAGAAACGTTCCAGGTAGGCACACCTGACTCAAACTCTGCTCAACTACTTCCTGCAGTGTGACCCTGGGCAAGTGGCTTCACCAACCTACACCTCTTTTCTCATCTCTGAGGCAGGACTTGCCTCACTGAGTTTGGTAAAGAGTAGTGGCTCAGTGGCCAGCCTCCATAACCTCCTCAGATGGCAGCCATACCAGCTGCTCAGGTGTGAGTGCTGGAGACGGCGGAGGATTCTGGAGTCCCAGAGGCACAAGCCAAGTTGTGTGAAACAGTGGAAGAGGACAAGCGCCTGAACACGACTGCAGAGTGGAAAAGTCTGCTGGGATCAGACTGTGCAGAGCCATGGGGTCCTGGCTTCATTCATCACCCCGTGAGCCCTCGTGTTGGGCCCCGTGGCAGGCACTGGGCTTATCGCAGCAAACAAGACAAGCATGGTCCTTCTCTCTCGGGCTCACATTCCCGTGGAGGAGACGGGCCGCAGAGAAGTGAGTACGTTAGGCGGTCTGTGACTTTGACTGCTACAAGGAAGATAAAACGGCAATGTCCCAGAGGAAGCCTAGGGTTGGAGAGGGCAACTTCGGACGGGTGGTTGGGGAAAGCCTCTCGGAGGTGACGTTGAGACCGAGTCCCAAATGGAGCCGGCCCCGGTGCTGGAAGGAGCTTGGCGTGTTCAGGGCCCTTTACGCAAGGCCTGCTGGGACAGCTGCCAGATCCACTGAGGACAACGAGCCCACCCAGCAGTGCTCGGTCTTCTAACGTGGCAGGAAGTGCGGGAAAGAGGGGTCCCTGGAGGCAGGTGGACCTGAATTTGATCCCATCTCTGCCACTTGGAGCCCAGCACTTCACTTCCTGCGCTCCAGAGTCTGTCTGTAAAGTAGGGCTTTGGGGCTTTAGGGAGGGAACGTAAACAGCGCTCCTGGCGCGTGGCCTTTCCCTTCCCTGGCCTCGGGGAGGTGAGCTGCCCGAGAGCCCCCCGAAATGGCCGTGCAGCAGCCAAGGTCCAGGCAGGGCTCTGATGTCTGTCTGCTCCCCCAGGTCCCCCTGCCCAGGGGCTGAGGTGAATGCATTTGCAAGCCGCTGAGTTCTGTCTTGAAACTCGAAGAGAAACCGTTTAGTTATCAGCCTCCACAGCTGTGCCTCAGGAAACTGCCTTGCCGAAGACTTCCTGTTCATTTCCCAAGAGCCATGGTCTGACTCGAGGAGGACCAGTGAACGGGCTTTTGCAGGCCCAGCCCTGGGCCTTAACTTGGCAGCTCCTGCTGGGCCTTTCCCAGGGTCATTTTGCAGAGGCCACTGAGGCTGGGGCGGGGACCAGTGCATTTTCAGAGAACAGAGATGCTGTTCCACGGGCCCTGCAGGCTGCGAGGAGCTGCTCAGGGCCCGAACCCAGGCTCTTCACTGCCTGCCCAGGGCCCCGGGACAGCATGTGTTTCCTCTGAAGATATGTTTGATCTGATCCTCTAACACCGTCCCTTTCTGCTCAGCTAGGGGGCACAGACACTTTTTAAAAAACCGCACGCCCAGTTTTCTCCTGCCCTAAGTGCTGGTTTGTATGCCTGTTCTAGACACAAATAGAACAAAGACCAGGCGAAGGGACAATGCCAGGGATGCACTAAGGACGCGATAGGAGACTGGCAGATACCCCTGGGAGATCCTTGGGTGTGGGGACAAAGAGATTTTGATGCTTTGTCAGCGCTTTCCTCTCCCCCTCATTTTCTTTAATTTTGAAATTTTCCAAACGTCCAGAAATGTCAAAAGAATAAGTGATTCTTCCTTCACCTGTTTAGGAAAATAAAGAAAGAAATGAACGCCTGTATATCCTCAACCAAGATGCACTAATCTTAACATTTTGCCACATTTGCTTTCTTCTTCTTTATGCATATGCAATTTTCTTTTGAAAATAAGTTGTATTATGTGACCTAAATTCTCATATAATATAATAAGTTGTATTATTATATCCCTAAATTCTTCAGCATTATCTCCAAAGAACAAGGAGGAGATGCTTTAATGTAACGCTCTAACAATCACAATACCTTTGTCACATTTAAGAAAATTAATAGTAATTCAAAGATATGATCGAATATCCAGTCCATATCCATATTTTCTCATTCCACCCCGAAAAAGTCTTATGTAGTTTGTCTTTCCCCCCCTAAGTGGGAGCCTTTCCAGTGAGAGCACTGTGGTTTTTGTATCTTTTGAGTCTCTTTTAATCTAGACCATCCTCCCACAAGCCCATGTTTTTTCCCCATTATATTCATTTCTCGGCTTGTTTCTCATGGTGTAATGGGACGTGTTCCCCAACCCTCACAATGCCGCCAGGCTTGGCTCGATGCAGGGTGGACACTGGTTACCGCTGGGACGCCCCTCTGCCCCCGCTCAGGGCTGCTGGTGCCAGCTCAGCTCTAGCAGAGACGTGTACGCGGCATGGGGCAGTGTGTGTGACATGCGCGGTGTAGAGAGAAGACAACTGGGAGGAGAAATGCTACACTGTTAGCAGTGGTGCCACTTTCTGCGTGACATTTCTTTATTCCTCTGTATCTTTTCTAACTTTGCCAAAACTAAGCACATTTTTACTTCATAATCGGGGACAAAAAGAATAAAATGCATGACATGATAGCAACGGGAGAGAGAGTTTGGAGAGTAATGACCAGAAAGCCAGGCACAATCCCACCACCTGAACCCATATAAAATGATAGTTTAGACCCTCCTGGGCTTTTTTCAGGAATGCTCTTTACGTAATTCTGCATTTTAATTTTTTATTTATTTTTTGTTTACATGCTCTCCCAAGCACATTTCCGACGTAGTATTCAGTATTGTTCTTTTCACTGATAACTGTGGATATGTGGGTGAGGAACCGGCTAGAGGTGGTAGGTGGTGCAGTTTGTGCACTGAACAAGGCACCCAGCTCTGGTGTAGCTGAGGCTCAAGTCCTCCCTGAGCCCGGTGCCCACCCAGTGCACCTCCCTGAAGGGGCGCCTTTTCCTGACTTGCCCAAAGGCAGCCTGCAAATCTATCCACAGATCTTTGGCGGGCTCAGCATGCCACGTATATGCACAGATGCCGGGGTAGCTCCTGCTGTTGGAGTCAGGCACTGAGAGCTCTGTCCTGCGGATGAGGCTGGAGACAGCAGAGGGGGCTGGATCATGCGAGGTTCTGTTTGGTGTCCAAGTGTAGACACAGAGCTGCTGCTGGTCCTCCCCGACGACCGAGGAGCACACAGAGGGCCAGTCTAAGCCTCACCACCTTCCCCTCTGCTTCCCAGGATGCCTTCCATGCCTTCCACCCTGACCTTGATTTTGTGCGCAAGTTCTTGAAGCCCCTGCTGATTGGTGAGCTGGCCCCGGAGGAGCCCAGCCAAGACCGCGGCAAGAACGTGAGTAGGGCCTGCAACCTGGGTGAGGGTGGGCAAGAGGGTCCCCTTGCCCCAGGACCAGAGTGGCCAGGGCTGGGGCAGATGCGCCTTTGTCCAGCAGGAGCCACTGCTGATCCCCTGTGGTCAGGGAGGACCTCAGAGCCTCGGCTTGGTGACAGCTACTGACACCCCCTTTCTCCTGGCTGGATTCATTTTCCTCCTCCTTCCCTTCTTTCCAGAAAGGTGCCAGATGCTGGTCCTATACATGACAATCTAGGAGAAAGACAGTGCAGAAACACTAAGCAGATAATGACAAGTGTGGCTGCTTCAGGCTGTGTGGTCTGAGAGCATCTCTTTGAAAAGGAATGACCATTATGCCCCCGTTTCTTCACCTCTGCTATGGGCCAGACACCCTCCTGGGTGCTGGGTTTCAGGGACAGAAATATGGAAAAATGACAGCACCTGAGGCCTCCTGGGGCTGTTTTGTTGAACAATGAAGTAGTGTGTGTTCCAGATCCCATGTAAGCAACAGAGCAGAGTACAGCATGCTTCAGGGGGTCTCTAATACTCCCCCTCGCTGGTCTCCTGCACTTTCCCCTCCATCCCTGCCTTCCCCTGCCCACATTCACCTTCCCCAGAAGCCCAGTTCTCCCTGGTCCTCAGCCCTGTTCCTTCCCCAGGCCCGTCTGGCCCAGCCTCGCTCTGGGGAGAGTGTGTAGGTCTGCACCAGGCCCACCGTGACCTGGGGGCTGAGGCTGGCACCATGGAAGTCCCGTTTCCCCGTCACCGACAGGCAGGGCCCTGGAGCCCATGTGGGGCCTGCGTGCCAGCGAGGAGGCTGGGTCCATTTACTCAATCGGCTCCGGGGCCCCCGTGGCTCCTTCTGAGCTGGCCGCCTCTCCCTGCTGCCCAGGATAAGACATTCCCTGGGGAAATCAGACCCTTTCCCCGGCGAGCCCTTCCCGCTCTTGCTGCCAGCCTTGGCAGGAGCCCCAGCAGAGCCGGGCTGGGTGCAGGCTCTTTGCAAGCTGGACTCCGCCACTGCATCTGGCCGTCCCGATGAGATGCAGGCCGCCCCACGTGTCCTCCAGTGGCCAGTCCCCATTCCCCACCGTGCCTCTGCCCCTCTTCTCGCCTTTCCCTCCTTGCCTTCCCCCTGCCCACGCTGACCCACGCTTGTCTCCTGCCTCTGTCTCACGAGGTTCTCAGCCCTCCCTCCCGCTGCGTCCCCCACCCTCTTCCCCAGCCTTGTGCCCCCCACTGCCATCCAGGCCCCCCTTCCTGCTCTTGAGAGTCTGCACCACGTGGCACCCAGGTTCCCAAATTCAGCTTCCTCCACCCACAGGCTGCCAAAACCGCCCTCGGAAGCACCTCGGTCATGTCCCGGGGGTACCTGTAGCCTCCTGTCTCCACTTTCCTCCTTGCCTGTCTGGCTCCGAGTTTGCTCCTGTTCCAGCGTCCTCCTTTCTCCCAGTGATGCCATCTGTTCCCAGAGCCATCATGCTCCCTTCACTCCACCCCTGCCTCCCGAGCGCCACGTGCCTGGCTTCACCCCACCCCCTCCTGCCTTCCCCAGCTCTCCTGGGCAGGGACTCTGACCCTAGTTGGTGTCACCCCCACCCCAACCCCCTCAAGACCCAACAGAGTGCCCAGAACAAGTGGCACAGTGTCAGGTGGTGGAAAATATACAAGGTGTGGTAAGATATACATATACATAACATAAAATTTGCCATTTTAATCATATTTGAGTGTACAGTTCAGTGGCATTAAGTACATTCACACTGTTGCGCAACCATCACGGCCATCCCTCTCCTGAGAGATTGCATCCGCCCAAGCTGAAACTGTCCCCATTAAATGAACTCTGACAACCACCTCTTTACTTCCTGTCCCTGTGAATTTGAGTACTCTAGAGACTCATATAAGTGGGATTACACAGTATTTATCTTTTTGTGTCTAGCTTATTTTACGTACCATAATGTCCTCAGGGTTCATCCATGTTGTAGCATGGGTCAGAATTTCCTTCCTGTTCTAAGGCTGAATGCTATTCCGTTGTATGTATGGACCACATTTTGTCCATCCATCCATCAAGAGACAATCGGGTTGTTTCCACCTTTTGCTTATTGTGAATAATGCCGCTACGAACGTGGGTGTCTAAAATGCAAGCTTTTGAGTCGAATCCTTTCTCTGCCACTTAACTAGCTGTGGACAAATGCACAGGCCCCAGGGCCGTGCCAGGCAGTGGTAACGGCCGTCGTTGTCGTGTGCGGTGGGTGGGCTCCTGCAGGGTCGAGGCTTGTGGGCTGGTCCCCTCTTGCCACAGCTTCTCCAGGGTGTGCAGTGGGTGTTGAGAAGATGGCCCAAGCTGGCTGACTCCTCCAGAGTGGCTGCGTGGCCAGTGTCCTTCCCGGTGCTCTTACTCAACAGTCTGAGATCATCGAGGACTTCCGGGCCCTGAGGAAGACTGCCGAGGACATGAACCTGTTCAAGCCCAACCACCTGTTCTTCCTCCTCCTCGTGGCCCACATCATCGCCATGGAGAGCATCGCATGGTTCACCATCTTTTACTTTGGCAACGGCTGGATTCCTACCCTCGTCACGGCCTTTGTCCTTGCTACCTCTCAGGTGAGGCATGACACCCTCACCAGCCCCAGTTCACAGAGGCCTGGTGCCTGTCTCCCGATGCTGTGACGGCATCTGTGGCTCCTTCTCCCCAGGCCCAAGCTGGATGGCTGCAACACGACTATGGCCACCTTTCTGTCTACAAGAAGTCCAGGTGGAACCACATTGTCCACAAGTTCATCATTGGCCACTTAAAGGTAAATGTCGGCAGCCCTGGGCATCCGTCCCGTTGTCCTGTTGTCCCGTTGGTTGGCGGTTGGCACCGTGCTATCACACTTCACTCTGAGGCCAGGACTCCTTTCTGCTCAGTGCTCCAAGGCTCCAGGGTGACAAGGCGGGTCTGCCGGGAGCTGAGCCTTCTAGTGGCACGGGCTGTGCTGTGGGACGCGCTGATCCTCCATTCCTCGGAGTTCCTGGGCCCCGTCTCCACACCAGGTCAGACCCACAAAACCACAGTGTCTAATTCCAAAGACAGGCACAGTTGACTGCATTGTTTGGAGCTCTTTAGCTAAGGACTTATCTAACAAATTCCTTTTAGTCCTGGCCAGTAAAGCCACAGTATCCAGATGGACTGCGCCTCCTTTCACTGGGACGTGAGCTCATCGTTACAGTGTGTTCCTCCTTTTTTCCCTCTGGTCCCTTTTTTCCAGGAAGTACAAAGTAACATTTGAAACGGCAACTCTCCTTAGTCTGCATTCTTGGTATACTTATTCCCCTTTCGCATGTGCTAATACGCTTTTAGCCTTATTTTAACCGTTCTGTTATATGTGAGTCCTTTGTCTTCAGCCATCTCATATTTCTTTGGAAATATGTGGGGTATGGAAATTAGAAGATGTCATCATACAAGGCCTGATAAGGGACATCAGACTATGTGATGGTTGGCTGAGCCAAAGCACAAAAGTTGTTTAAAACGTACGTGGTCAGGCAGTTCTACCCTCCCCTGCCCTGGCTCGTGAGGCAGACCCACAGACACCCAGCAAGTCTGTGAAAATCTGAGCTTGAGTCGCCAATGGTTTCAGGCCAACTTGAGAGGCGTCATCTCCTCGGTTTTGAAAATATGTCCTTGCCAGTTTTCTCTCTGAATCAGACCATCCCCACCCCAGCCTGCCCCAGCGGGATCTAGCTGGTTCCCAAGAAAGGCTGGGGACTAAGGACTTCAACCTCCCCAACCGGGGTTTTGCTTAGCCCCTCTGCGAACCAGGCCATGCTGGGCCCGTGGCTTGCCGGCTGCAGTTCGGGATGGGGGGGAATCGCCACTGAGCTGATCACCCGCTCCACAGCAAGCGGTTGGCCTGGCCTTGAGCCTGAAGTGGCCTGAGAACCTGGTCTCCTTCCAGAATCTCAGGGGCGAAGGGAGAGGGTGCACATAGTAGAGTGCTTTGTTTCATTTTATACCCTTGTCTTTCGGATAAAGCCTCCTCGACCTCCTCCCCCACCACGCTTAACAAAGATGAGCTGTGTCCCGTTTCTAGGCTCTGGGCAGGGGCCAGGAGGCCTTTCCTGCCCGATGACCCTCAGTCCTTGAAGAGCCCTGGAGCACAGCTCTTGTGTCTGGTGGAGGATGAGGCAGGACAAAGGAGTGGCCTCTATGAAGAATGAGGATGACAGCAAATGGGGTCCTTGGACTTGGGCACATGAGCTCCACACATGGCTCACCAGCCCCGCTGGCTGTGTCCTTGGTGCTGGGTCGCAGAGCCAGGCCAGTGGCATGGCCCTGCGGTGACTCAGGGGTGCCCCAGAGTGAGGAGGTCATAGCTTGCCTGAAATCCAGCTCTGGCACTGGGCGGGCACACAGCCAAAGTAGGCAAGCCTTTTAGACTCCTCTATGCCTCTGATCCCCTTGCTGGGAGAAAAGGGGCTGGCTGCAGGGAGGTCCTCAGGGGCCTTGCCAACTTGGATGTTCTCGCACAAGTGGGTGAGGCCAGTGAGCAGGTTGCCCAGGGCTTTGGGGCACCGGGACCCGCTTCTTACTGTCCGCCTGCACTGCTGTCACTGCTGTCACTGCTGTGGGATTCCACGTGAGTTCTCCACACCCTGACCTTCCCTTTGTCTTAAGCCCATATCACATCTAGTGGACATTTCTTCCAGGAGGTAGCCTTTTGCAAAGACAGGTCTGAGCTTAAAACCCTTTCATTGTTCAGCATTATACTTGGGATAAAATGCAAACTTTGGGGCCAGTGCCATAGAGACGCTGCTTCTGGAGGTGGCAATCCACCAGCCTCTCTGCAGCTCATTTCAGGCCACCAGGGCTGAGGTTAGGGTGGGGCAAGTGAGGCCCCCCACCCAGGGTGCCCAATATAAGGGGCACCACAGAAACTCAGTAGTCAAGATAAATAGTGCTTTAATGCAATATTTTTGGTTCATTTTTTATATTTTTTAACATAAATCTACGTAATTTCAATATGTTTTTAAAAATCAAAATTAATGCAAAAAATATCCTCAATGAACCAAATATCAAAATTTTAAATAAAGGTCAGGGCTGAACTGAGGCAAATGGAAAAACACACACCCCTCTATACATGTTGGTGTGTCAAGTTTTTAATGGTTGATTTGGGTTCCCCCAAAGCATTAAAGTAGTTGAAAAAATGTTTAAAAGTTGAGAAGTCGAAAAAGTCACAACATTCTCGGTTTAAATGTTCTATTTATACCAAAAGAGACTTTATTATACTTTTCACTTCAGTTTAAGGTAATTAAAAATTATTTAAGCTCATCACTTGGTTGACAAAAATCATCAAACTCAGCAATTCTCTCAATTGAAAATGAGATCCGCCAAAAAGGAGATTTTAAAAATGATTTTTCAGCTGGGCACGGATTACGGCTCACACCTATAATCCTACCACTCTGGGAGGCCAAGGAGGGAGGTTCACTTGAGCTCAGGAGTTCGAGACCAGCCTGAGCAAGAGCGAGACCCCGTCTCTACTAAAAAATAGAAAGAAATGGTCTGGACAACTAAAAAAAAAAAATATATATATATATATAGAAAAAATTAGCCAGGCATGGTGGCGCATGCCTGTAGTCCCAGCTACTCGGGAGGCTGAGGCAGGAGGATCACTTGAGCCCAGGAGTTTGAGGTTGCTGTGAGCTATGATGACGCCACTGCACTCTAGCCCAGGCAACAGAGCCAGACTCTGTCTCAAAATAAATAAATAAATTTTTTTAAAAAAGAAAATGATTCTTTTCGATGAGTTTGCTTCCGTTAAAGCCAGGAATGCACATTTCTCCTTTTGTCTCGGGCTCTGATATGGCACCACCCAGCATTGCTGCTGGTCAAGGTACTACCAGGGAGCTTTTCTTTGGCTTCTGGAACATTCTACACTCCTCCTTCCCCTCCCAGGGCCTTCACCTAGTCCCTTCCCTCTGTCAAGAAAGCACCCGTCACTCTGCCTGGCCACCTTCTCCAGCTCTGTGGACACAACTCAGTGTGGTGTGATGAGGCGGACCTGCCCTGGCAACGCCCTGGGGATGAGAGCTTTGTCTCTGGGTTCACCACTTCGCCTGTCTCTAGGGCCATAAGCAGCAGCTGGCTCACCCCATTCTGGGGGCACTAGGGGCATTGTTGCGGAACAGGGAGGGCTTTATGGTGCCCAGGAGGAGGGCTTTCTGGAGGATAAGGAGGGCTTTGCCTAGCAAAGAAGTATGGAAGAGAATCATAGCAGAGGAGTAGCAGGGACAAAAAAATGTTTCATTACATCTCATCCCGCGTCCAGGGAGGGCCAGGACTGCCTCGTCTCGCTGACTTCACTCATGGCCCGTCCTTCTTTCCTGCATTTATTCATTCAAAAAACATCTTTTGGCTGGTACACTCTAAACATCATGCTTACTTGTGACATGCCTCATCCCTCAGTCTCTTTGTACCAGAGACTTTTCTATTTGGTTCTTCCCAGGATTTTTGTGCCTTTTGGCTACAAATGCCAATGTGTCGTCTTATTCCTCAAGCCTCGAAGCCCTCACTCCTTGATTTTTTTCCTGCTCTGGTGGGTTCTGAAGCCTGCCTGCTTCCATGGGACTGAGGTCACCACAAAGACCACAGCTGCCCATGGCTGTCCCCACCCCTGGCTTAGTAGTGTCCAGAGACGGTGTTTGTGCCAAAAGCATCTTCCAAGTAAAATGTTTGTTTAACAAATGGCCTTTGCATATGGCCACAGCATTGACCTGGCCGGAGTTCACTGGTACAGTCCTGATGCCGAAGGGTCAGAAAAGTCTGTTTTCTTCCACGTGTCACCGGGCGACATTGCTGAGGGTTGTGAATCTGCAGAATGTCTAAAGTTTGAGCTGACGAGACAGAAATCTGTGGCCTCAGATAAACACCACGTTATGCTTCTTGTCTCGTGGAATCATAAGTTTATTTCTTAGAACCAGGGAAGCTCTTCCGGGTTCATGTTAACAACTGTCTATTAAGCCCTCCCGATAGCCTTCGGGTGTGACAGGAATCTCAGTGTTCACCCCTCAACGTAGCAGCATGTGTGAGCTCTCCAAGAACAGGGACCACCTGTGGTCATCTTTTTTATTTTAAAAAAAGGTTTATTGAGATATAACTCACATGCAATTTGCCCATTTCAAGTATACAAATCAATGACTTTGTGCAAATGCAGGGATTTATGCAACTATCTTCACAATCAATTTTAGAGCATCTTCATCACCCCCAAAAGAAACCCCACACCTCTTAGCCATCACAGCCCAATCCCCTCGTCCCCCACCCCGACCCTGGCCCCAGCCCTAGGCAGCCAGTCATCTTTCCTAGTCTATAGATGTCCCTATTCTGGATACTGCATGTCAACGGAATCGTGTAGCATGTGATCTTTTGTGGCTGGCTTCTTTTACTTAACGTAATGTTTTAAGGTCCATCCACATTGTAGCACGTGTCAGTAATTCACTCTGTTTTATGGCATGGCCAAACAATATTTCATTGCATGGAAATGCTGTCTTTTATTTATCCATTCATCTGTTGATAGACATTTGGGTTGTTTCTACTTCTGGGTTATTTTGAAGAATGCTACTATGGACACTGCTATATAAGTTTTTGTGTGGACATGTTTTCATTTCTCTTGGGTATATACCCAGGAGAGAAATTAGCTGGGTTACATGGTAGGGACCACTTACTGTCCCTGAAACCCCTTCACCTTACACAACACTGGCACACAGAGGCGTGTGGTGGACGAGTGGGTGTGGACGGCTCCGTTCCTAATATTGGTGGAGAGGCAGACCCCGCCCCCCACACCTGCCGAAGCACCCGCCATGCCCACACCAGCATCCTCACCCACCATCACGGTCTTGTGATTGGGAAAACTGAGGCCTGGAGGGGTCTAGTGATTTGACTCCATTCGGGAATGGCCAGTGCTCTGGGCGCAGTAGTGGCTGGGCTGTGCTCTGACTTTCGCTGGGCCCAAGGCACTGCCTCTGAGTGTTGGAGGTGCGAGGAACTGGTCCTGAATGGGTCTCGTCGCAGGCAAACCAAGGTCCCCATTGGATGGCATTGCTCAGCCCAACCCCTCTCCCCCCACAGGGTGCCTCCGCCAACTGGTGGAACCATCGCCACTTCCAGCACCATGCCAAGCCCAACATCTTCCACAAGGATCCAGATGTGAAAATGCTGCACGTGTTTGTCCTGGGCAAGTGGCAGCCCATCGAGGTATGACGAAGGGGAAGGTGTTGACCTAGGAAGTGTTTCGCCTGAGCTGGGAGCAGGTGAGGAATCCTGCAGGGTCGACCCTCGGCCAGGCACATCTGCATCTGATGTCACACGGGAAAGCTTTCCCAGGCACCCTGAACTGTTCAGCTGCGATATATATGGAATGGCGTCCTGTAAATACTGGACACACGTCCTTATCAGAGTGCTGGATGCCTCCCTCTCTCCCAAAGGCTGGGGGAGAGCGTTCCCTGGCTGGTTTCTGCCCAGGGCAGAGGGAAATCTGGTTCCAGTTTATAGGAAGGCAGGACTCCAGGGCTCGCCCCCGACATTGCTCAGATGCCAGCCTCAGGGCAGCGGATGAGGCGGGAGGCTCTGGAGATCTGGTCCTCCAGTTGCCAACAGTGTTTGGAAGTCCAAGGCCAGCGCTACAGTGTCCTGTAGAGACATGTGTCACATGCTCACAGGGGCACAGGGCCAGTTTCCTGGGTTCCTGGTGGAACTGTGCCCTGGGGCCCACAGGACCATGCTGCCCTGGAAGGAATGCTGGTTTCTTGACTGAGGTGACAGTGGGTCTGATGGACTTGTCACATGTCAGGGCCACCCACCTGGCTCGGGGCAGCCAGGCTTCAGAGTCTCGAACCACCATCCCGGCCTCCGGAGTAAGGACGCCTGCCAGGGCTCTTACCTCTGGGCACAGAACAATGCAGCCCAGCCAGGCGGCTCCAGGGGCCTGCCCCGCACCCGGAGCTTAAACAGCCAGGCCGGCAGGAAAGCCCTTTTTTCTAGTTAGTGAGCCTTTTGGTCTTGTTCATGACATGCAGGAAGATTTTTTTATTTGTTTTATGTAGCAAAAAGTATTGACTTCACCCCCTGGAGATTCATTTCCTTTATATATGCTATTTTTAGCTCTTTATGGTTTTGCTTCCAAATATGTAACTTTTGCCCAGCGGGATTTGTTTGGTGAGATGATTTTCTGTCCTCATATTTCTCCAGAGTCAGCCGGTTTTCCCAGCACCCCTGGGCGTCGCATCTCCCCTCCATACGCTGCGGTGAGCTCTCCTGAGCCTGTGTCTGGGCTGGGCTGGGCTGTCTGTCCTCTCCCAGGCCACCGTCTGGGTGACTCAGGAGTCACAGTCATCCGTCCTTGGCACTTCACTCATTGTAAATGTGTAGTGGGGTGACTCTCCCTTTCTCGAAAGACTTTCCATCATTGCATTCGGCCTTCCCACCCAGGAATAGGCATCTGTTCCCATCACTCAAGTTTGCTTTTCTTTCTCTTGATGAGGTTTTATACATTTCTTTATAGTCTCGTGGATGTTTCTTTTTAAATTTAACCCTTATGTGTTTTATATTTTTGTCACCATGGTTGGGGCTCGGGGTTCCTCCAGCACTGGGGAAGGCAGTCGATATGGGGCCAAGTACCTATGTCCAACCAGTGTCTCTGCAAGATTTTAGTTGGTTTTTGATTGATTCTTGAGTTTCCGGGGTACATGAAACTATCCTTGAGATAATGAAAATTTAGACTCTTTCTAATGGCTCCCCTCTGTTATTTCTCCTTTGGGTTTTATTACATGGACTGGAACATTCAGAGCTGAGTTAGATAGCAGCGATATCGCTGGCAGTCTTGTCTTGTTCATCCTCTTTTTCTGCCACATTATTTAGGGGAACAGGGAAGCGGCTCCCTATAGCACCATAAATGGGCCCTCGAAAGCCGTGAGTGTCTCCGCCTCCCTGCCCAGGATCCTCCTCCTCCTCCCATCTGGGCAGCTGTCCCAGCCTCTGCCTGTTCTCAGTGGACCCCCAGGCTTCCCGCTTCAGGAGGACTTTGTGAACAGGCCAAAGCGACCATTCCCCGCCAGAACACCCGTGCCCTCCCCCCGGGGACCTTGCCGTTCTGCCCATGCTGCTGAGGCCGCATGAGGCCGAGCTGCTCATTCCTCTCAGTGTGAGTGCAGGTTCTCAGAGGCAGAGACTGGGCTTTGCGCCAGCTCCCCTTCCCCCAGCCCTGTGCAGACAAGAAAGGCCCTTGTCATTCCCCAGATATTTTGTTCCAAAGCTGAAAAGTCCCCTCCACATGGCCCTGGCACCCCGCCAGGCCCTCATCTGAGCCTGTCCTTGAGGTCCGTGGAGAAGAGGGTCAGTCCAGCCACCAGGGCTGGGCATAACTCCCTCCCTCTGCCCCTGGCCTGCAGCCCCGGCTATCAGCCTCGGCTTGGGAACACGCTGTCCCTGTTCAAGGCCAGCCTTGTGTGTGCCACCATCTCCTTCTCGGGGTCCAGCCACACCAAGCCACCCACACCCTTGCCTGCAGCCCACCTGGTGAAAGCAATGTTTGTCTCCCCTGCCTCTCCCCTCCGATGGCCCTGCCTGCCAGGCTTACCCTGTGAGCGAGGGGCTCCACTGGAGGAGGGGAGGGGTGCAGGCTGCGCCCCAGCTGGGAAGAAACCTGCCTCTCGCTGAGTGAGTCTGCGGCCCGGCATTGCAGTGAGCACCGTGCATGTGCAGCGTCACTCAGTCCTTGCACGAACCCGGGAGGCAGGAACTACCACCGATGGGACAGCTAAGGCCAAGAGAGATGAAAGGGCTCGCATAAGATTACGGCTAGAAGAAGGCAGCACCAGCATCCAAACCCAGACCGCCTGGCTCCCGAGTCCTGGGAACGCTGCCCAGGGCCTCCGCCTGGCAGGCACTTGGAAAATGTGTTTGTTGGGTAGCTCCAGCTTTCTGATGAGTTAGGAAGCGAGGCGCTCACCATCCTAGCTTAGTACCTTCTAAAATACCTCTCCCCATCCCTCCCCCGCTCCTGTGACGTGTTGTTGGCACAGAACTGAGCGTGTGAAAAATGAGAGCAGAGAGTTAGCCACAGGGCAGGGCTTGACGTCTCCAAAACCCACAGTTGTACTTTCCGGGTTTCAGAGGGGAGCACTGAGGTCAGCCGGGCCCTGGCAGACCCCAGCAGCTGCCCTGTCTGAGGCCATCGAGGTGGGAGCAGACGTACAGTGGTGCGTCAAAGTGTCGCCACACACATGCACACATGCGCACACGCACACACACACACGTGTGACTAACACTTCAGTGCTTATATTATGTCCACTTCATCCGCTGGTCCCGCAACAGCCCTGTGAGGTACCTACCGTACCTCCACTTTGCAGCAAGGAACCCAAAACTCGGGGGAAGAAGCAATTTGCTCAAAGAACAATTTGCCTCCCCAAAGCTGGGCACCCTCAGAGGCTGATTCTGAGGCCTGCTGCTGCCCAGCGGCCAGAGACCCCATGGGTCCCATGGGTCAGTTTAGGGCACACGTTAGAGCCAGTAGTGCTTACCAGCTGGGGACAGCTGGGGAGATGTCATCTCTGTCGTCCCCGCAAAGGCCACCATAATCAGTGAGAACAGTGTGCTCACTGTGCAAATGCAGCATGAAACGACCTCCCCAGGTCCTCCCCCTGCCCCCACAGCAGTATGGCCAGTCTGCAGGCCCTCCAGGGGGACCCTCTGGCCCCTGCCGGCCTGCCTGGTCTGCCCTTGGTGCTCACACCCTGTGCAGAGCCGGAGCAGCTCCAGAGAGTGGCAGAGATGGGGTGGGGAAGGCCCCGGCCAGGGCTGGAGAAGCCGTGCACAGACGCTGGGCTCCCCGGAACCCTGGGCCCCTGCAGGCCCCCAGACTGTCCACCTTGGGGGGCGCCTTCCCCAGTGTGGCCCCTCTGTCCCCTCCATCCACTGGGGACTCATTAAAGGCTCCCTCAGAGGCCTCCCTGGCTCTGACCTCTCCCAGGCCAGCCGCAACCCTGGCCTTAATGACGGTCTGCGTGCAGACGGTCAGACTTTCTGGGAATGTCCGGGCTCAGGAGGCCACACAGAACAAAGGGATTGTTTCTGATGGTCCTTCAGCTGGGTGCGCCATGACCATGGCCACTGGGGCCAAGACGCAAGTCCTGGGGCCAGGCTGGACTTTGTTCTCACCCATGGCCTCTGCCCTTGGGGAGTCCATAGGCTCTCCCTGTGATGTTTTGTGTTTTTGTTTTGTTTTTTTCTGGCTTCCAGAAATACTGGGTCCATCCCTGTGATTTGACAATCGCTTCCCTATCTGTGTTCTCATTTGGACAACGGGGGCGTTGGCCTAGATGCCATCCAAGGTTTCTCCCATCTGTAACTTGCTTTGATCTCCTGAATGCCATGAGCGGGACTCGACACCATCAGAGGGGACAGCTCTGGCCTTCGGATGGGGGTGGGGCACGGGGGCAGCGTCCTGGGGCAGCACTGGCATCTGTGCCCCTGTTCACAATGGCCTCTCTTATCAGCCAGTGGTCTGGAGGCCGGCCAAGGCTCCCCGGCCAAGGCTCCTCTTGAGTGCAGGGTCTCAGCGCTGTGAGCGGCAGCATCAATCAGACTCAGCTGTTGGCTCCAAGCCCGGGCTCCCACACGGCCCCCGCATTGCAAGCAAAATGAGCACATGTCACTCAGCGAGCGGCATCTTTTGGTCTCAGTCCTGGAGGAGCAGGGTGGGCTGGTCCCTACGGGCTGGACCGTGGAACCAAGGGGCTCCAGAGATCCCCTGGGACTGTGGCTCCCACGCTGAGTGGCCTGAGCAGCTTGGGACAGTGAGGATGCCCAGGCCCTCACCTGGCCCTCCTCAGTCGGGGCCTCTGGGCACCAGGCTGCCCAGGGTGCAGGCTCGACAGGGAGGGATCCAGTGCCCTAGGTGGGAACCTCTGGTAGCCAGGCGTGGCCAGCGGAGTCCTTGCCGGCATCCTCAAGTGTAAGGGTCCGCCTGGGGAGCAGCGATGAGCCTTTGGAATTTCAGGGAGGCTCCAGGCAGGTGGATGCTCCCAGCCTGCTGACTGCTAACAATTCCAGGGCCCTTAGCTGGGTTCTCCCAGCTGCTGTGGGCTCTGGGAGCTCCCCATGGTGAACTAGGAGCTCCCTCCGGGTGCCTGTGCCCCCGTGTGAGCTGTCCCATTGTGCATTCACTCAACAAACATTTCTTTAGTGCCTGTCACATGGGCTCTGAGTCAGATCTGCGGGTCCAGAACTCAGTCGGGCCACTTTCCGTGGTCTTGGGCAGTGACTTCACTCAGAGCCTCAGCCTCAGAAGTGCCGGCCTGAGCCTTGCTGAGGATTGACACCACTTGGGCCCGCATGCTCAGCTAGGGCTGAGGAAGGCCTGCCGCTGCTAGCCAGGCGTGGGAGAGCCAGAGAGGCCCCAACCTTGCTGGGCGCAGGGTGCAGATGGGCAGGAAAGGCGCAGAGGCCTCGCTGAGCAGGGAGAAGGAGCGGTGGCTGCAGAGGTGGTGGGCGGGCATGGAAGGCTGGGCCCGGGGGCTACTGGGTGCTCACGCTCACTCCTCTCTCCTCAGTACGGCAAGAAGAAGCTGAAATACCTGCCTTACAACCACCAACACGAGTACTTCTTCCTGAGTGAGTGTGTCATCCCTGGACCCCTTCGACCCTACTGTCCCCTCAGAGTGGTGTCTCCTCCTCCCACCTAATGCCCTTTTCAGACCCAGAAAGTGACACTAAACGGGTCCAAAGGAGGGGTCACAGTAGCCATCCCATGGCTCCTGCGCTACAGGCCAGGCGGGGACACAGCTGGGAGAGTCCAGGGTCACGCACCCAGCAATTCCTGGGCTGTCTGTGCACCGTCCTCAAGGGACTCGGGCCTTTGGCCCCTGGCTGCTGAGCTGGCCCTGCGTTTGGGGCTCGGGCCAGCTCGTCCTGACCTTGCAGCTCAGACGGGCCAGGCGGCTGGCCCCTGAGCGCCTGCTCTCTCTCCCGCAGTCGGGCCCCCGCTGCTCATCCCCATGTACTTCCAGTACCAGATCATCATGACCATGATCGTGCGCAAGGACTGGGTGGTAAGTCCGGACAGAGCTGGCTCAGGGGTGGGGGGGTGGCTGGGGCAAGTGGACCCCGGGGTCCTGCACTGTGTCCCCGGGTGCCTCAGTGGGGCCTGAGGGGTCCCAGGCATCTCCCCTGAATAGCCGCCTTGTCACTCTCAAGAAGGGACTCCCTCTGGGGCCACCAGCAGCCAGTCCTAAAGATCTCCACGCACACACACACCCCCAACACAGGGGCATCCACCGAGGCAGCCACTGCCTATGCACAGCCCCTCACAGGTTCCTAGAGGCAGCGTGGCCAGGGGCTCTGCCCCAGCCTCTACCCTCTGTGCTCCCTGCAGTCCCTGAGACCCTGTGAACCGGGTCACCCCACACTCTGGTTGGAAATGGGGAGCAGCTGGGCGTTGGCAGAGGAGACAGGCGTGTTAGTTTGCTAAGACTGCGTAACAAAGCGCCCCGGCTGAGCGGTTTAAACAGCAGAATTGGAAGAGCTCCTCGGTGAGCGCTGAGGGCAGGCTCTGCTCCAGGCCTCTCCGCGGCTGGCAGGTGCCGTCTTCCCCGATGCGTATCTGTGTCTGTGTCCAAATTTCCCTTTCTTAATGCGGATATCAGTCACACTGCTTCAGGGCCCAGCGCGATGCGCTCATCCTCACTAGCTCCATCTCAGTGACCCTATTTCCAAATAAGGTCACTTTCTGAGGTTGTGGGGGTTAGAATTCCAACATATGAATTTTGGGGGGGACACGGTTCATCTCAAAACAGCAGGCTCAGAGAAGTCCTCTGACTTTGCTTCCAGAGAGAGAAGGGGGCCTGGCCCGGCAGGGGCTGGCCAGTGTGGGGCACGAGGCCAGCCCTGGGGTTTCTGTATTGCGACTCTGAAAGTTTGAGCCTTGCCCAAAGTGGCACCGTGGGGTGGGGTGGCCGCTTGACGCCAAGTGCTGTGCTCTCCCCCACCAGCCCAGCCACCTCTCTCTCTTTCAAATAACAGCACCTCGTACTTGCAGAGCACTTTAAGGGCTTCAGAGTCCTTAGTCTCACATCCTCTTGCTGAAATTACAGGGCAAAAAGACCGTGTCTGGTGATTCTGCTGAGAGGGCCAAGGCTGGGGCTGGGGGTGCAGTGGGGGTGTGGGGAAGGGGTGGGACCCTGGAAGCCTCTGCCAGCCTGTCCTGGGAGAGCCTGTATGTGCTCATTTCTAGGACATATTTTCTCAAAACAAGCACGTTGTCAGCATTTCCCGTGTTCCAGGAGCAGTGCGGCACTGCGCCCACATTACGTCGCGAACCCTGTTTTACTGACTGGGCAGGTGAGGGTGGAGGGACAGAGAGACCGACCCAAAGTTCCTGGATCAGCTCAGCCAGGTCTCCTCCCCTGCCGAGACTGCTGCTGCCCTGGGGCTCACCTGGGCCACCACGAGAGTCGCGGCTAGAAAGGAACCCGAGCCGTGCTATGCTGGTCAGGGGAGTTTTAATCAGCTTTTGTGGCACATGACCCTTGATATAAATATATAATCTTTTTTTTTAACTGTGCTTGTTCCCTAAGGAGCAAAGCATTAAATAGGAAATCACACTGTGTTCCTAAAAGCCAGGGAACCCTGATGAGCCCTTGGGACTTGCAGGGCCTGGGCGCAGCTGTGACCCGGGGCAGTGGTTCTCAACGGGGCGATTCTGTCGGCCATTTGGCAGTATCTGGAGACATG